CTGCAAAACTCAGGATAATTAGTCTACATCTTTTTGTCTGTTTGTGGTGATTGATTCTCACCTCCTTTTGCATTTCTGTGATCAGAGAATCGATCATCTTTTATGACTTTGGCCTGTGTCTCTGTGGCTGGTCTGGTTTTGACCATTCTCCCCCCAAATTAATTTGATCCTTATCAGTTCCTAATTGGGGCGGAGAAGTGTTGCTCAATTGATCATCTCCCTATAAATTTAGACCAGCTTATGCGGGAGGTCACAGACGGGGGTACAGTCGCGGACGGGGGGGGGGGGGGGGGGGGGGGGGGGGGGGGGGGGGAGTCATTGTCCTGCGTGAGTGCATTTTCTGCTGCAGTGCAAAACAGCAGTTGAACACAGCAGTGCATTTTCTGCTGAGGTGCTAAGAGCAGTTGAACACAACAGTTTAACTAAAGCAGGATAACTCAAGCAGCAGGAAGATACAACAAAGAACTCTACTGCATGCTGAAAGGGAAACATCTCCTAAAAGTCTGATTCCCACTACATGTACCTTTTTAATATGCCCCCTCTACTCCTCCTTTTCATATTACTATCCTCTGTTCTCAAAATCTAATTTCTTTACCCCTCTGCTCCACCCCAAAGTTTATACATATCACCCTCACTTCTACCATCTCCCTACTACTGCTCTCATCACCTCCTGTTAATACTTTACTCACCTGCTGACCCAAACACCAGGACAAGAAGGCATGTGCACACTTATACATCCCGCTCCTGTATTATTTTCCACACCCTCCTTCTTCTCCTAACCTCTGGGGATATCTCCTCAAACCCTGGTCCTTCAGTATCTCACCCCCACACCAGGCACCCTCCTTCCTCCAGGAATAGCCGCAATCCACTCAATTTAATCTCAATCCCCATGCTCCTAAAAACTACACCCCCTTTTTCATGTGCACTCTGGAATGCCCACTCTGTAATAAGCTCACCTCTGTCCATGACCTTTTTGTCACCCACTCCATTAACCTACTAGCAATTACAGAAACCTGGCTTCAAGCAGAAGATTCTGCTTCTCCAGCAGCACTTTCCTATGAAGGCCTTCTCTGGACTTATTTACCCAGACCCAGTGGTTGGAAAGGAGGTGGAGTTGGTTTGCTTCCATCCTCACTAAGCACCTTTTAAGTACTTTATAACCCTCCCTCTCTACCCTTCTCTTCTTTGGAGACTCACTGCATTCAGCTGTTTTCTCCCATTTCTCTGAGGATTGCAGTGATCTACCGGCCTCCTGGACCGGTGACCAACTTTCTTGGTGACTTCTCTGCCTGGCTATCCTACTTTCTCTGCTCTGAAATACCCACTATCATTCTTGGAGATTTTAACATCCCCATTAATATGAACAACCCGGCTACATCCCAACTCTTCAACCTAACCTCATATTTTTCCTTAATACAAAGGACACAGTCCTTCACTCACTCTCGTGGGAATACATTAGACCTTGTTTTCTCCCATCTTTGCACTCTCTACAACCTCACAAACACCCCCTTTCCTCTCTCTGATCACAATCTCATCACCTTCACAGTCTCCTCATCTTCAAACACCTATCCCTCCAAGCAGCAATTACCCGCACTTTTACAACTTTAACCCTTCTCTTTTCCCCTCTGCAACTGACCAACTCTATGACAGAATCTGCTGCCCTGCCCTGGCCACTGCTGTCTACAACAGTTTGCTTTCATCCACATTAGACTCACTCACTCCTCTAAACAATACGAAGCATCAGGCCCTGACCATTAGACCTTGGCAGACTGACGACACCAGAAATCTTAAGAGACATAACCGTGCACTGGAGCGATTGTGGCGTAAAACCAAATCTCACCAAGCATTCACCCAATATAAATTTCCTAACATACAGTTCCTCCCTCCATGCTGCCAAACAAGCCTACTTTGTCACTCTTATTAATACCTTGTCATCCAGTCCTCGTCGTTTCTTCTCTACTTTTAACTCTCTACTTTCTCCACCTTCACCTCCACCCAGTACCTCACTCACTGCTTATGAGATTGCAAATCATTTCAAAAACAAGATTGATGCAATTTGTAGGGGCATCTCCGTTACACAGATATCCATCCCACTTAGCATACCTTATACTAAACCTCCCTCAACACTTTCCTCTTTTGACCTTGCTACTACTAAAGAGGTCACTAAGGTTTTCTCAGAAGCCCATCTCACTACCTGCCCCCTGGATCCTGTCCCCTCACAACTACTACGATCACCCTCTTCTTCTAGCCTATGCTCCCTCACTCACATTTTCAATCTCTCCCTCTCTAGCAGTGCCTTCCCCACCCCTCTAAAGCATGCACACATCACTCCCATACTTAAAAAGCCCTTGCTGGATCCCACCAACCTGAACAACTTAAGACCCATCTCCCTGCTCCTGTTTACCTCTAAACTCTTAGAACGCTTACTCAACAATTGCCCAGCTCCCTACCTCACTGATAACGACCTTAACTATTTACAGTCTGGTGAGTGCTCACTACACTCCACTGAAACTGCCCTACTAAAACTCACTAAGGATCTACTAACTGCTAAAACCAATGGCCACTACTCCGTACTCTTACTACTTGACCTCTCTGCGGCTTTTGATACTGTTGACCATCCCCTCTTCCTCAAAAAAAAAACTCCACTCTCTTGGCCTCCGAGATTCTTTTCTCTCCTTGTTCTCCTACCTATTGCAGCATTCCTTCAGCATTACTTATAACTCTGTCTCCTCCTCTCCACTTCCTCTTTCTGTAAAGGCCCCTCAAGGTTCTGTCCTTGGACCCCTTCTCTTCTCCATCTACACCTCCTCCCTTGTTCACTTGACAAACTCCCATGGTTTAAGTTCCATCTCTATGTGGATGACACACAAATCTTTCTACTCCTCACCTCACCCCTTCAGTCTCCTCTTGCATTACTAACCTACTAAGTGACATATCGGCATGGATGTCACTCCACTTCCTCAAACTTAATCTTTCTAAAACAGAGCTAATACTATTCCCTCCAGCCCATGCCCCCTCCCCTGCATTCTCCATCAAGATCAATAATACAACCATCAGTCCCTCCCCTCATGCCAGGGTACTAGGTGTATTCCTGGACTCCCATCTGTCCTTTCAGCCGCAAATCCAATCACTGTCCAAATCTTGTAGACTTTACCTCTACAACATCGCCACGATACGACGTTCTTAACCTCTGAAACTATTAAGCAACTTATTCACTCCCTGGTTATCTCTCGCCTTGACTATTGTAATTTCCACCTCACTGGCCTACCTAATTGCAGGCTATCCCCTCTTCAGTCTATCATGAATGCTGCTGCCAGACTCCTCCACCTTACTAACCGTACAATATCTGCCACCTCTCTCTGCCAATCCCTCCACTGGCTTCCCATTACCCAACAAATAAAATTCAAAACATTAACAATAACATATAAAGCCATTTATAACTCTGCCCCAAATTACATCACCAATCTTGTCTCCAAATATCACCCAAACCGTCCTCTCCGCTCCTCCCATGACCTCCTGCTCTCTAGCTCCCTTATCTCCTCCTCCCATGCTCATCTTCAGGACTTCTCCAGGGCCTCCCCCATCCTCTGGAACTCTCTACCCCAATCTATCAGTCTATCGCCTACTCTTCCCACTTTTAGGCAATCTCTGAAAACCTATCTCTTCAGGGAAGCCTATCCTGCCTTCAGCTAATAATGGAATCTTCTATTCCTCCTATCACTTCATCCCCACAGTTACTACCTTTTGTACAACCAGCCCCTCCCTTTTAGATTGTAAGCTCCAAGGAGCAGGGCCCTCCTAACTCTCTTGTATTGAACTGTATTGTTGCTGTATTGTCTCCCTTTATATTGTAAAGCGCTGAGCAAACTGTTGGTGCTATATAAATCCTGTATAATCACAGCCCCAGTTACAAGGTTGACCCCTCCCAATCTGATCACAGCCCATGCTACAAGTAACTGTGACCCCTCCCAATCTGATCGCAGCCCCAGCTACAAATAAGGTTGTCCCCTCCCAATCTGATCGCAGCCCCAGCTACAAGTAACTATGACCCCTCCCAATCTCATCACAGTACATGCTACAAGTAACTGTGACCCCTCCCAATCTGATTGCAGTCCCAGCTACAAATAAGAGTGAACCCATCTGATCACAATCTCAGTTACAAGGTTGATCCCTCCCAATCTGATCACAGCCCCAGCTACAAGTAACTGTGACCTCCTCCCAATCTGATCACAGCTCCAACGACAAGTATGGATGGCCCCCTTCCAATCTGATTACCGCCCCAACGACAAGTATGGATGGCCCCCTCCCAATCTGATCACAGCCCCAACGACAAGTATGGATGGCCCCCTTCCAATCTGATTACCGCCCCAATGACAAGTATGGATGGCCCCCTCCCAATCTGATCACCACCCCAACTACAAGTGTGGATGGCCCCCTCCCAATCTGATCACCGCCCCAACTACAAGTGTGGATGGCCCCCTCCCAATCTGATCACAGCCCCAACTACAAGTATGGATGGCCCCCTTCCAATCTGATTACCGCCCCAACGACAAGTATGGATGGCCCCCTCCCAATCTGATCACCACCCCAACTACAAGTGTGGATGGCCCCCTCCCAATCTGATCACCGCCCCAACTACAAGTGTGGATGGCCCCCTCCCAATCTGATCACAGCCCCAACTACAAGTATGGATAGTCCCCTCCCAATCTGATCACCGCCCATGCTACAAGTAAATTAGTTACAAATAAGGGTGACCTGATCCCCTCCTAATCCGATCACAGCCCCAACTACACCTATGACAGATCCTCTCCATCTGACAACCCCCCCAGACAGCGACAAGTACCAATCCGCCAGCCGCTTGCCAACCGCAACATGTCAGCTATTACACTCGCCCCCTCATAAATGTACCCAATGAGAGTCCGTGCAGAGTCCTCCTCCCTCCTTGTGTGGATCACGTGTTCCTCCTGGCAAGTCACACGTGTTTCCTGTGAGCCCCGGCGATGATGGCGGCTCAGTTGATCGAACATGTGCTGGCCCAGGCAGAGAAGGACGAGGCGGAGAAGCTGCGGCTGATCACGGTGGACAAGGAGCTGGAGCTGCACTTCGACCTGGGCAACCTGCTGGCGGCAGACCCCAATCCGGCGGACGGCAAGGCCTTCAGGCAGCAGAAGCGGGAGGACTTCCTGCGCTCCCTGGCCCGGGACAACACCCAGCTCCTCATCAATCAGCTGTGGACTCTGCCGACCCAGCGGGTGGAGGAGGCGGTGGTGGCCACTCTGCCGGAACCCAGCACTCGGCTGCCCCGGGAGAAACCGATCCCGAAGCCCCGGGCGCCCACCCGCTGGGAGGAGTTCGCCAAGTTAAAGGGCATCAAGAAGAAGAAGAAGACCAACCTGGCGTGGGACGAGGCCAGCAAGGAGTGGCGGCGGCGCTGGGGCTACAAACGGGCCAACGATGACACCAAGGACTGGCTGATCGAAGTCCCGGCCACCGCAAACCCCAACGAGGACCAGTTCTCCAAGAGGGTGAAGGCCAAGAAGGAGCGGGTGGCCAAGAACGAGCTGAACCGGCTGAGGAACCTGGCCAGAGCCGACAAGGGGAAGGTCCCGGGGGTAGGACTCACCCCTACCGGGCAGCCTAGCCGGGATGAGCTGGGCAAAGCCATGCAAGTGGCCAAGAGGTCTACAGCCTCCGTGGGCAGGTTCCAGGACAAGCTACCCAAGGAGAAGGAGCCCAAGAACATGGGCAAGAAGAGGAAGTTCCTGCCTTTGGTGGGGGACCTGGGAGCAGAGAAGACCAAGCAGCTGGAGATCCTGAAGGTCCTGGACAGTAAGAAACCCATGTTGGATGTCACCAAGGCGGTCAACAGGCAGATGAGGGAGGAGGATGCAGAGGAGTCCGCCAAGAAGAGGAAGACCTTCAAAAAGGGGCGAGGGGGGAAACAGGGGGGCAAGAAGGGCAAGGGACCAGCCAAAGGGGGAAAAGGACCGGTGAGAGGGGGGAAAGGCAAGGGCGGGAAAGGGTTTGGCGGTAAAAGAAAAAAGTAAAGCTCTAAGCCCATGGACCTCACCTGATGGACTGTAGTCCCTATGCCTGTCACCGCTGATTGACACTTTATTGACTCATGATGTTCTCCATAGTAATACAGAAGGGCTGTCATAATGTTGATTGAAATATTTTTCTATTAAGCGTTTACCTCCTTTTTGGGGTATGTGAATAAAGGAAATGTAACTTGAATATTTAGGTAATGCCTGTTTACATATATTTGACTTCTAGATTGCAGTTGTTATGAATTTCCTAAGGGTGGGTTTGCATTATTTTTTGCTGGGAACATACTGCTCTTCAGCAGAAGTATGGGGGTGCTATTAACTTTTAATGGCACTCACACACCCACAAAACACCTGTGGTTTCACAGAATACCGCATGGTGACCCAGCACTATGCAGTTACGTGTGGCACAATGTTTTTAGGAAAAGGATCCGGTACGTCTTCTGCATGTAGGGCTGCCCATTCAAATGAATAGGCTGCTGTACATGCAGAATACTTCCTGCACAAGTGTGAACCTAACCTAAGACCTCATGCACATGGATGGTGTGGCCCAGATGCATCAAATCTTGGTGCTGTGGAGGCGCAGGTACAGTCAAAATCTGTGACTGGCTGAATGACAGAGACTGACCACTGTACTAGATTAGGGATGTATGCCCCAATCAGAACATTTCTATGTTCCAGCCATACGTCCCTATGCATGCTGCATATTTCAGTCTGTCATAAATGTTGGCATGCTGCTGGCAGTGGGATGGATTGGGCATCTCAGCCCAGTGCTGCTGGTGGTGAACAAGATCTAAATCATTTTCACTGTGTGGAAGATGACTAGTCAATATTAACCATTTTCCTACTGGGCACTTATACCCCTCTTCCTGGCCAGGCCAATTTTCAGCTTTCAGCACTGTCGCAGTTTGAATGACAATTGCGCGGTCGTGCAACACTACCCATAATAAATTTTTTTTATCATTTTTTTCACACAAATAGAGCTTTCTTTTGGTGGTATTTAATCGCTGCTGGGTGTTTTATTTTTTGCGCTATAAACAAAAAAGCAAAAAATTAATGTTTTTCTTTCTATTATAAAATTTTGCAAACAGGTAATTTTTCTCCTTCACTGATGTGTATTGATGAGGCTGTACTGATGGGTGGCGCTGATCACTTCTCTGACAATTGCCGGTTATCGGCAGTACTTTCCTCATGCTGTGACAGCGTGAGGAAAGTGCAGCCGATAACTGGCAACTGTATCTACCTGGTGATCTGCTGTTTCATCGGAGACAGCTGATCACGTGGTAAAAGGAAGCTGTGATTGGCTGTTTACCGTATCACGTGATCAGCTGTCTGTAGGACACAGCAATCACTGGGGGACACGCAGGGGGTGTGTTCTAGAATGGCGTCTATGGACGTCCTCCCAGAACTAGACAACCACACCGCGCTGTAGCCGTCTGTCAGCTATAGCGCAGTATGGAAGAGGTTAAATGAGACAGTCATTCCTAAATGATTGAGGTAGTGCACTACATAGGTTCCATCAAGGAATGTGAAGCAACCAGGTAGCTTGCTTTACACATTAGGCCCCATACATGCTACGGCATTTTGAATCACCACAATTCCAAAACGGTTTACTATAATAAATTGCACAACAGTGTGTTCATGTGCCATTCATTTTAATGCTGCCTAAAAACGCAGTGCAGTTCTGCCGTGAGATACATTATAGCAAACCCTCTCGCCCAAAAGAAGCTCCTGAACTTTTTTTGGGTGACATGCTTTGTGCGATTGCAGCACGATTTATTGCGTGACAATTGCAGCAGAACTGCATCACTTTTTTAGGTGCTTTTTAAATGAATGGCACCTGAATGCATTGTGCAATTTGTTGCTTTAGCAAAACATTTTGAAATTGCAGGCAGAATCGTAGATACCATAGTGTGACTAGGGCCCTAGTGTACCCCCTTTTTTTGTTGCTGGTAACTGACCTTTGTGGTCCATAGCCATTGTGTAAATCGGTCACCTGTACAAATGGACTTCGTTTTTATGTATGACGGGTTTTAAACCAATTTTATTTTGCCTGAGGCTTTTTGCCAGAAGGGGTTTTGCCATGGCACAAATGCAAGCAGCAGGAGTCTAATTCATGCTGCTGCTTTTGACACCTGTCTGCTGCTCGCTGTGGCCACAGAGTCTGTATGTTTCAATGACAGTTTGTCAGCAGCCTCAGCTATTTGTGGCTGTTCATGGTCAGCATTAACCTGTTGTAATCACTGCTGAATTCACACAAAGTGCAGTTAGCAGTGATCACCGCAGGTTAACGCCGGCTGTGCAAACATCTGAGGCTGCCAACAATCTGTCATTGAAGTGTACAGATTACTGCCGCTGGAATTCACACTGCCAAAACACGAGTGCAAATGTAGCCTTAGGAACAGTAATTCCATACACTGAATGGGAGACTATAATTGTCCTGCAACCTGTTGGCTATACCACTCTACAACTACATTGTCATCAGGATTGCTGTGCTGTTTGTCACTCAGCTCCCCTTTACACTTGGTGTCAGTGTAGCCAATTGATGTAATAGATGCTGAACCTTTTTTTTTTTGTCAAAGCTTAATTGAACAAGCTGAAGTTAAAAGCTGATTGACTACCATGCACCAGATTATGCACTCAACAGTTTTCATAAATCACCCCCTTAAAGTCCACCTCTATATAAAAAATGCACTTATTTTTGCAGGGAAAAAGGGCATGTATTTTTTTTTTTTCCTCCCCCAGGAGCTTGAAAGCATTTCACCCTCAATCAGTGCATCGCAGGTTAAGTGCAAGGCTCCTACAGGCTTTCATTTAGAGAGCTGGAGGAAATGTCAGTGGACTATGAGTGCACACTGCACTTTGTATTCCACTGAGAAGTACGAAGTCCATCTGCTGCAGTGGATACAGATCTCTGGCAACGAATGACATGAATGTGGGGGCAGAGCCTTACACAGCCATGCTGATTTCAAATTTCAGCATTTTCAGTCACTCTGCACATGCTCAGTTTAGTGTGTATTGCTAGAGTTTTTTTCTTTGGGACATACATGTGATCAGCACAGGGCCAATCCGCACTGTTCAGAGGTCCTGCAGCCCCATAGGGGAGAATGAAAACTCCTCCTACAAGCTTTAACCAGTGATTTGATGGAAGTCACAAGCCTGCTGTATACTGCTGATGAGAAAATGTATTTAGCAGTTTATATGTACTAAAATAATTGCATTTCTGTGTACTGTGGGAGACAAGATATAGTGGATGCAAGGTGCTGAGTTTAGTAACACTTTAAATATGGATGTTGCTAAAGTTTGAGTTGGTGTTTAAAGGATAAGTTCACCTTTGGGAACATGTTACATGTGCCACCTGTTTTTTAGGGTGGAACATGTAACGTTCCCGATCCTGCAGCCTCCCGCTAACCCCCTCTCCCTAGAACAGTACAGTGGGGTTTCCCTGCTCCCTATCCCTGTCCAAGTTCACTGTTCCCAATAAAAACCCCAAAAGAAACCCCTAGACTTTGAGCCAAAAGAGTGACTGATACTGTGTGCCTGGCTGCTAGTGCAAATAAGCGGAACCAAATCAACGGGCCCTTTTGGGGGTAAGTGGTACACCTGTTTTGGCTATGGGACAGGAAGTGAAGGGAAATCTTCCTAATGGGATGCAGATGGCAAATATAAACCATTCAGTGGTTATACGCTATCCAAAATGAAAAATATAAAGCTTTGCCTGGTTTTGATTTTCCTTATAGGTAGATCACTTAAAGGATAAGTTCACCTTAAAGCAGAGCTCCAGCTGAAAAAAAAAAGCAGCTACTTACCTGTCCAGTGGTGTCCTCACCACTGCTGGTTTCACCAGCCATCTTGTTTCCCTGATGCCGGCATCTTTAGTGTGGACACCTGGCTGTGACAGCTTGCAGCTTCACAGTCAGGTGTCACATGCGCCAGAAGCACTGCTCTTTGTAAATGGCCCCGTAGTCTTCTGGGACCTGTCACATGTCCCAGAAGACTACGAGGAGGGAGTACAGCCTCCTCTTCTGATCGCCTAGGTGATCGAGTACCTGTCAAATTTGGGTACCCGCTCCCCAAAGGTACCAATCCTTAATGGGGAGCTGGGGACAAAGCATTAAAGCAGAACTTCCCCTTTTAGATGGAGCTCCACTTTAAGGAACGTGTTACATGTTCCACCCGTTTTTAGGGTGGAACATGTTCCCAATGCTGCAGCCGCTGCCGTTCCCTCCCTGTGACAGAAGTATGAGGAGTAGTTCTCCGTACTAGCTGCCACTTTTCCAAAACAGTGTGGCCGTGTGGGGCTCCGCCCACACGGTCGCGCTGTTCATTCACAGTCCTCTGTGAATGAATGAACTACAGATCCCGACAGCCTTAGCTGCTGTTAGCTTGTAGTCCTCAATAAACTACCACAGCACTCCTTGTACAGGATGTAAAAAAGCAAGCAATACATTGACAGTCTGCAGGAGACCTGCATGGCATCAGGGATCTGCTGATCGCTGGTGCAATCCTTTAGAGGCTCCAAACAAAACGAAAAAAAAAAAATTGCACATTTTTTTTACATGCAAAAAATGTGCATTTATTATTTTTTGTGTAAAGGTTAACTTATCTTTTTACATGGGAGTGCTTGAAAAACTTGCCAGTTGGTCCATTGAGATTAATGGGAGTCTTCATCTTGACTGCTGTTGTGCTTCAGGAATCATGCGACAAAACAATTGGATGTCAGTGGGGGCAGAAGTTAGCCACTCTTGTGTGTAGTTCATTACTGAGAGCATATTATCTTGATTTTAAAGTGGTATTTATCCCAAAAATAAAAAATGATTATATTGTAGATTCTAGCCAATAACCACTTGCCTACCAGACACTTATACCCCCTTTGTGCCCAGGCCAAT